GAATTATAAGTTGCAAACTTGCAACTATTGAAAAGGTAAATGAGAGTGATTGACCTAAATTAAATTATGGTATCCCCACTTCTAGATTGTAGTTATTTCCATACCAAAGTCATAAATGGGGGCAAAATACATACTTTGATGGAGTGCACCAAGCAATTCACCAAACGTGCCAATTTACTTCATTACTTGGCTACTATAGTGACTAGTCAATCTTGTAGGGAATGAAAGATGTACTTTAATTTATTAATATACACTAATTCCAAAAGTATTTTCGGTTGCTAAAATGAATACTTGTATATTGCATGCATACATATTTCACATTGTCACATCTATCACTCGTACATAGTATATCTAATTATTAATGAAGAATAGATTAGAAATAAAACTAGCTGATGATAATTAAATTAAATTGATCGATAATCATATATGAAGTACTCCGTATATTCTTAATTATTTTATTGTTTCACCAACGTATAGACAGGTACTAAACAAATTATCGTTGTTAACCCATCAAGCTAAGATTAGAAAAGGAAGTTGTTACTCTATAAGAATACTACAAGAGGGGGGGTGAATTGTAATATAGGGAAGTTAGACAACTTTTTGCGGAATAAAGAATATAAAGCTAAAGGAAATCAAAGACACAGAGAGAATTTTAGCGTGCAAAACTTCTTGGCCATAACAAGAAGAAAACCACGACCACTTGGGATTTTGGGAAAGATTCCTTACTAGAATAGGACAATCAACCTATTACGGGCTAAAGACTTTATAAGAAAGAGAAGAGAAGAGCAGTATGTTTAGGGACTTACTGCTAGGAACTCTAACTTCATTAAGGAACTTTCTCTCTTTCTCTCACAACTTCACTAGAGTTCACTCAAACTCCTTAACACCCAATTACAACTCTTAAAGAAAATACTCTAATGAAAGAAAATAAGAAAGTTATTAGCTGAAGTGGAATGCGACTCTTTAACTCTTTGAAAGCAAGAAAGATAAAAAATATATTTAAGCAAGGTGAGTTTTTCCAGAAAAAACTTCTCTATTTATAGAAAAACCATAACTTGATTCGAACACTACTACTTGTTGCAAGCCCACGCCACTAACTCCTACAACCTCCAGTAGTTCAATTATGTCCTAAAATTCGGGGCACGTTGAAGTTACAAGAAGAGTTTTCCTATTTAGTGGAGAAAGACTTAATCAATACCAGAAGCACAAGTTTAGTAAAACAGTTAAAAAAGTATTTTTAATAAACAGAAAAGATATTATTCTTGAACAACTGCTTTCCTAAATTCAAGCAACGCATTCCACTAAGGCATCATACTTCTATTCACTTTCACTTGCATAAATCCTAAAATATGAAAATACTTTAGTCTTTATTGATTCTCTAATGAAGTCTCTACTCCGAGTCTTCCAAAGATCTTCTCATTCTTCAGGCTTCAGCTCCTACTCCGAAGCTTCAGTTCCTGCAAAGGAACTATTTTGGAATAATGTATTTTCTTCTGGGCTCCAAGATCCTCAGCTTGAACAACTCTTCTTGTCCTGTAACTTATATCATAGCTACACAAACATCAAAGCATTAGATCCCAAATATAAGTTTGACTTGTGTGATCATCAAAACATCAAGGGCAACAGAAGCGCTCCATTGCCTTTTCTTGATAGGTTTCTTGTTATTATTCTTACACCCATGATAAGACATAGTTAGATATGGGTCTGCCAACAGTATCAAGAAATCAGCGATGATATTTCACATACTTCGTGAGAAGAACTAACGTGGATGCATGATTCACTTCAACAAAATTAGGTAAAATAAGTTACCACCATTCGAAATTTATACACACATTGTTCAACTAAAAATCTCTTATTTTAGAATTTGGCATAAATTAGAATTTGGCTCGATCAAGGCTTGTTAAGCCCAAAATTAGAGCATGTCCTAAATGGTGCCCGTAGCCATTCTTTTAATAAAGACAATCTAATTTTGCTCTTATAACTCTTAAATTCTATCCCTTGCTCCTATCTTTCAATGTGGGACTATTTTCTTCTTGTTTCTTTTGTTAGTTCTTCTACTACGTAAATATACAACAACAAATATCATGAACGAAATTTCTAACACTCCGCGAAAACGCAACTAGAGTTTTGAAAATTAAATTTTGATGTCGAGTCCTAAATATGAAACAAAGTTAAATGTTAATAGTTAATTCATTACAAAAAATATGAAAACAATTTATTATACAAAAAACTTGAGCTTGTTCACGAGCTTAGCCCGAGTCGAGTCTTGAATAGTTCCCAAGCAAGCTCGACTCATTAACACTAGACGTAATCTTACATTTTGAGTATTCCTTACTACCTTTTAAATCAAAATATGCTTGATAAATTTAACGTGTGCAAGACTATGCAACTAACCAATGCAAATTGAGAATTTGTGAGTGGGCTTTGATTGATGTAGTTGGGATTTGGTGAATTGGTTGTTATGAAAGGCCTTTTATAATTTGTTTGGCTAAGATTAGTGGGCTTCAATTTGCAACTTTGCGAAGTGCAGCGTGGGAGCTAGACGGCTCAGGCTCACGTACGGGTGGGACTTGACGAGAGAGCTGGGCTGGATTGGTCCGCATGGTTGTTGCATAAAGTGTGGCCTTGAATAACTAACATTTTGAAACAACATTCGAGTTTAAAGTTTAAACACATATTCATAAGCCAATTAGTCATTTAGGTATATATACATAGTAACAAACAAATAAAAAAAAAAAAAAAAAAACACTATGCCATTTTGGATATAACAAAAAAAAAAGGGGGGGGGGGAAATGAAGCGGAGGTAATAGTAACTAATTATGTTTAGTTGTATTATATATACAGTGAATAATTTTGGAAAAACAATTTGAATAGAAAGTCATTAGATTAAGTTGTGTGTTAATCAACATCTAGTTATAGTAATTGCCTTGATTTGTTATCAAGGTGGGTTGTAATACAATTTGGATTATGTTATAGTGTTTATTACTTAGTTTTAACTCTTTGTTTTCAGAGTTTGAGTTTAAATATTTTCACGGTAAATAGTTTGTCCAAACATATTACTCCGTACCATTTATCCATTTCTTTTACAAATTAGAGATTGTTTAATCACTTTTTCTTATACAAAAAAGCCTAATTATATATTCATCACATCCTAACTATTTTGCTTTATCCTATTTTTCCCTGGAAAATTCTTTTTTGCATATGTTAGTAAACAAAAATTAACTTAATACTTGAAGTCACATGAGTTGGAAGTAAATTTTATATGAATTTTGTAAGTGGTCTTAAAGTGTTTAGTAACATATTAACATGCTTTTTGTGAGATGTGTGGATTATATTATTATGAAAAGAAGAAAGCGGAGTTGGAATAGTGACATATTTGATTGGCGCAATCTTAAGCTTGACTTTTTGAGAGGGGTTGCAGAGTTTTTTGAGTTTTGCAAACAGCATGCTGAGTGACTCAAATTAATAGAATGCCTATGCCCATATGTATGAACAAACATTTCCGGTCTCAATGTTGAGACAATCAAATAAAGTTCAAGTGTACAAGAAGAGATTTTGGGCTAATTACTTTGATTGGTTATGAAATAGAATCCTAAGTGAAATGACTCAAATTAGACATTATTTATCTATCGATATAGTAGTTGGTAATTATCATTTGGTTTGACGGTTGGTATGTATTTGGTGACCATTGAAGCAATATTAGTATATCACAACCAGCCATGTGGTCGACACTATTGCGGCCGATACACGGTTAGTAAAATTCAGATAATCAATTATTTTACAGACCTATTAACGGTCGAAAGTCGTTATATTAAATGACAGATTGATCTCTGGCAAACTCTTATTAGCAACCGCCATTAATAATTAGCGATCAATATTTGTGTTTTAGCGATTGTTGAATGCAATTGGTAAAAGCACAAAATTCTATTGTGGCTATAATTGTTAGAGTTCTAAGGTTAGAGCCAAGGTATAAAAGAGAAAATGAAGTCTAAAACAGTATGAAAATACTTGGAGGTATGTGAAGATAACCCGATAGAATTATCCTTTTTGATTTTCCTTTAACTTTTGTTGAATACCTCAAATTAAATGTCCTCTTATGATACATTTTACTCAATTAATCTTCAGTTATTGGTAATTATCTGAAATTGTATGATCATTATACAAACTTATCAATTTTTTTTTATTTTTTTTACAAGAACTTATCAAAGTTATATTGCACCTTATTCGAAATTGTTTTAGTCGTAAATTAAACTTAATTGTTATTTTTTTTTTTTAAGGTAAGATGAAGGACCCAACTAAACCGACACCTCTCACAGGTTTAGCTAACCCAGCTCCGCAGGTTGACGCTTGAGAGTGGGGGGGAGATATTTATCAAATAAAATGCGTTTTAAAATGCGTAATTTCTTCATGTTGCAATATTAACAGAATGGAGAAATTAGAATTTCTAATTAAGTCCTTAAATTAGAATGATTTCCACGATAATACATAAAAATACCCTAACTCCTTGAATACTCTCCCTTTTAATCTTATTTCTTGTCCACATCAGATATAAACAATCTACGAAGTATTTATAATTATTATCGGCATTCTTGTTTGATGAACTACTCAATATCTAATTATAAGTTTTTATAGCAACAAAATAATGACAACATTCAGAGTTGCATTTTGGTATCCTTCATTATTACATGGAAAACAGTGGATGATATGTTGAGAATTTTGTTTAAATGTGGTATAATTGAGGAATTTACAACTTTTGAAGTATTTTGTATGGAAATGTTTTTAATTTTCAACTAGAAAAATAATAATTTATTACGTATTTAAATTATCATCAAATATATGTTTTGTTCCTTAAAATAGTTATACCGGCAATTCCATCCATTATTTATTTGACATTCTATTTTCCCTATTTTTTCATAATTCAAAATGAGTAAAAATAATTTTCTCCCTCCAATTTTATAATTCAAAATAGTAAAAAAATACAAGTGTAAATTTTCTACTCTTTTTCATCCTCTACATATCTCCTGACTAATAGCAGTCAGTTTCAGGTGATGAGGGTTCAACTTTCAACTACAGCTGCAACATTTCTCAATTAGGGTTAGGGTTTTTCGCAAAAATGGACACTCCAGAATCTAAATCTACTCCTGCTAACACCCGCAAAATCAAATTAATCAATCCTTCTCCATCAGATTCTTCTGCTTTTCAAGTATCAATCTCTTTCTCCTACTAATTTTCTATCTAATTTAATGTTTTGGTTTTGGTAATTTCAGTATAAATTTGAACAAAATCAGTGTGCTTTGTTGATTTTTAAGTTCATTTGAAGTAATCAAATGCTCGATCTTTTAGTTTTTGCACAAAAATCCACTGCCCATTTTATGTAGTTTTTGCTTTCATCGGCTAATCTACTTCCATTTTGTTGTTAATTGGGGTAATCATCTACTTGTATTCAACAAATTGAGGTTGAAATTGATGATTTTGGTGCAAATGTGGGTAGGGTTTGAAGTGGGTTTGACGGATGTCTCAATGATAATGAGTATTCTAGTCCTTGACCCTTTAATTGCATCCCCTTCTCCAAGTTTCCTGCAGTCACAAATCCAATGTCCCCAATCCCGTCTCCGAGTGTTATATGATGTAGCATCAAATTCGTAGGTATTTTCTTATAGACCATTGGGAATTAGCTGAAAATGTTGCAGATTGATATTCATACTATACCATAATTATGTTTTACACCTATTCACACACAGAAAAAAGTTTTACACAATTGGGACTTAGGATGGAATTTGTTGAAGTGTATGGTCTATTGATTCTTCATGTTATAATTAGTGGGATTGTGCTCTCAGTTTAGTGTGTAGCTTGTTGGGATTAATGTCCGTTTGAGCTCTCTCGGATGGAAGGTTTCTTTCACCCAATAGTCCATCCTTCACAAGGAAAAGGTTGGGGGGTAATGATCTTTCAAAATGCCGGATGTGTTTGTCGATCACATTTTAGAATCAACGGTCCACTGCTCTCATTTTAGGTGTGCAAACCTGTTCAAAACCCATAAGTCCAACCTTCATGAGGAAAAGACCGGGGGGGGGGTAATTGTCTTTCAAATGTCAGATGTGTTTGTTGATCATATAGTAGAATCAGGGTCCATTGCTCTCATTTTTGGTGTGCAATGCTGCAAACCTGTTCAATCAGGTTCTGAGGATGTTCCTTAAAATACATAGGGTTAGGAATATAGTTGGTATTAGCGAACCAATGATTAGTGACAGTTGCACTATTTTTTTTATGTCGTTATACTCATTTCCTATACCCTCATAAAATCAACTTAGCATGTAGGAATCACGAGCCATGTGGCCCACATTGAAGTATCATTTTGACATGTAATTCGGGTTCATTCTAATCTGGTTCACTAAACCATGGTCATTTGGAGTTAGTTGATACTTGGGAGTTAGGAAATTTGTGACTTTGTGAGGCATCCATGGACTTGTGTGTTTGTGAAGATACATGTATATTTCCGAGGGGTTATGGTTGGCATTTTCTTTCATGCACCTTTATATTGACTGATGATGAAAGACTACGTAGTTCTTTCTGCCTTTGCACACCCTAAGCATTTATGTTAAACTACTGTTGTTAAATCCTTCTAAGCACTTTGAAGATAGAAGAGCCAGATCACCCACTTTAAAGCATTTGGTTTCAATTTGGGTTTACAATAAACGCCAAGATCGATTGGGACTTATCTGAGACTAAGGGTGCACGTGAGGGTTTCAAAGAAAATGTTTTCTTTCATATGAATGGATACTCTCTTGTGGAATTTTTGCTGTTATATACATGCTTCCAAGTCTAGCCTGTTCTTCTTAAAGAAAGCACCAGAATACTTATTATCTCCATGCTTATTGTTTGGACTTGTGGGCGTAAGGAAATTAAGTTGGGAACAGCTTGTGACCGACATTAACTTTAACATTCAAATGTCATCCACCTATAATGTCTAATTTGCAATAATTTCTATTCTGCAGGATTCACCTGTATTCAATTACTTAAGCAACCTATCTCCCATACAGCCTGTCAAAGGTGGACCTGTTGCCCAAGGATTCCCTGGGCTAGCTTCACCTCCACTTGTATTTACATCACCGCGCTTTAATTCACTAACAAATTTATTCAACAGGCATGTAACCATGTTTTTTTTGCTAATAACTGGGTTCCTTAAATTTCTTTTTAGTGACTATTTATTGCTTCAGAAAGTAAGTGAGATTTTGATTGCCTTCAGGAAGCTACAATCTTCTGGGCCTAATTCAGAATGTTCTCAAGATCATGATCATGACAACTGTCACAAAAATGAAAGGGGACTGGGTGGTTCTATTAAAATAGAACCTGAATTTCATAATCGTTTGGCTTATGGTGATCAAAAGACTTGCAACACTGAAAAGTTAGTTCCGGATGCTCATTGCAGTCCATCTGGTTGCCTTGATGAATTCTTAACCGATCCCGGCAATTGTGCAAATTCTTCACAAAAATTACAATCTGACAATGCCCAACCTTCTCTAGAAGGTGGCTGTTTGGAGAAAATAGATGTTGGTAATGGCAAAGCTCTGGGCCTGAATGGTTCTGCATTGCAAAAGGGTAAAAGAATTTCACAAGCAAAGTCCAGAATCAGTGTTAGACTGGTGAAAAATGAACCACGGCATGTAATTTCATCTTCTGAATGTTCGGGTGCCTCATCCAGTTTGTTGACAGATCATACATCCGAAAAATGTCAAACTGGAGATTCTTTCAATGAGGTGATTATAGATACACACCCTCCCCCAGTACCCCCGCTTATTTTTGAAGGTCTATTTGTTTCCTCCTCAAACTCTCAATATGTCTATTCTCACCCCCATTTGCTTTTCAAAGTTTACGTCTCAGAATACATTATTTAAGTTTTTCTTAGGTCTTTCTCCTTAATTGCACAGTTTAAAGGCAAAAGTTTTTTGAGATCTATGCATGTGAGTGTTGTGGAGTGTTCTCTCACGTCATTTAGTCAGTTGATGTTCATATTCTATTTCCTTAGTGAAAATAACTATACCTTTCTACAACTTGCTTAACCCTAATGCAGGCCAGTCATTTCGAACGTGGCACTCTCAGACGTTGTCTTTTTGATGAGAGTCAAAGGATAAATTCTGTTGATGGACCTGGTTTTTGGAACCCCATTGCTAGTGCCCAGATTCAAGAATCAGTTAATATGTCCACTGGGAAATTAGGGAGTGAGCAATTGAACAACTTCTCTAAACCTGCTGTTGATGCTTGTGTTTCTTCAGTTACTGATAGTCATGCTGTTGCCGTCTCCAAGCCGCTAGGTATAGGGTTGCATCTGAACAGTGTAGTTTACCCCAGATCAACGGATAGTGCAATTACTAATCAGCAGTCATCTGTGATGAGAGTGGAAAGAAAAAAATTGCTATTTCTCACAAACAATCAATCAGATGGAAAGGTTGATGCCTCTAATGTAACTGGGAAAGTTTTAATTAGCTCTGAGGAGATAGATCGACATCAGGCCTGCTCAGTACCGTCGTCTAACAACACCATAGCTTCAGAAGCTATCGAACAATCTAACAATGCCATTGAGACAAAGCTACATGCTGCTTCTACAATTATAAATGAAAAGATTACATTAAGTTCAGATCTTGTGGAAAATTTTGAGTCTAGTCTTGGAAGCCCAAATACGAAGAGGCAAGCATCAAATCTCTGTCTTACAAGTCAATTGTAAATAAATCTTTTTTCTTGGACTCTGACATTGTTCCTCCAGGAAAAAGACCTCAAGCTCTACGGATGATGACACAACCAAGCGATGTAATTGCAGAAAGACCAAATGTTTAAAACTGTAGGTGTTTTTGTCCCTTTGCTATACTCAATTCAGTTGGTGATGCATTGTACTCACTGTTGCCTGTATGATTTTGATGGTTTGATTGCAGCTATTGTGATTGTTTTGCTGCGGGATTTTACTGTGGTGAATCATGTGCTTGCGTAGGGTGCTTTAATCGACCTGAATATGAAGATACAGTTCTAGAGACAAGGCAACAAATTGAATCCAGAAATCCACTCGCTTTTGCTCCAAAAGTTTTGCAGACTGTCACAGCTTCTCCTACCAGCAGCAAGGTACCATTGCTTATATATGCCCTATATCATGAATGTATTTTGGAAGAGTTGTTACTTATCTGTTGTTTTCAAATCGGCAGGTTGTCAGCAATCTGTCAACTCCATCCTCGGCAAGGCATAAAAGAGGATGCAATTGCAAAAAATCTATGTGTCTTAAGAAATATTGCGAGTGCTATCAGGTCTTTTACCACCAAACATTTTTGCATTGTGATGGTTCCTTTTCTTTGTTGTAATTTTTTTTTTTATATAGTATATGGCTTTGTGCTACATACCTATGTCTTTTGCTGACCTTTTAACACTAACAGGCTAATGTTGGATGCTCTGAAGGATGCCGTTGTGAAGGATGTAAAAATATATATGGAATAAGAGAAGGTAAATTATATTTGAGAAGTTTTTATTGCCCTTTGTGTGTGTGGATGTGTGTATGGGCATGGGTGTGGGCGTGGATGTGGGTGTGGGTGTGTGTTTAAGGCAAATAGAATGGCAAACTGATTTTACCTTTTTTTTTTTCCCCATTATTGGTTCCATTATAGTATGATGGTTTAGAGCACAGTAGGTAGTTTTATTGCTACTAACATTTATGTTTGTCAAGCTTAGTCTGTTTGTTGTCATGTAAATGGTAATTGGTAACACACGTGCTAAATGAAGAGCTGAAAAGGATGTAGAAATGGTGATCAGCTATATCCCTAGTTTATGCCAAACTCTTTTCAATTTGTTAATCTGCTCAGTACTAGGAGTCAATTTTCATGAGGATCTGTAATTTATCAGCTTATATTTGAGCAAGCTACTAGGCCAATGAGTCAATTCTACTTTTCTGCGACTAAGTATTGCACTTAATTTTGGTGAGATTTATCCACACAACTATATCTCTTCATACACAACTGTGATCTGGATTGACTTTCTTTAGTCTTGGACAACTATACTAGCAACTTTTATGTAACTCAGATCCCTTTTGAAATAATACTCTCTTGAGCAACTTGTGGTGCTTGATCTGATTGTCTAATGCCTCTTGTGCTAGTGCTGGTGTATAGACTTTGCATTCATTTACCTTTCCTTCACTTTCTATCACCAAGCAATTGATTTTTTACTCTGTTGCTGTGATTGTTGTTGTTGCTGTTGTTGTCGTATTCTGTACTATGATAAATTGTCACTCTGGTCTACTCCACAATATTCAAGATCTTCCTTTCTCTTTCTCATTTTTTGGTTGGGTCTCAAGTTTTTTGATTATCCTAGGGATGGCTCTATATCCCTCATAACATACCAAACAAATCCAAGCAAAAGAATATTAAAAATTCTCATTACTATGCCAAACATAGCAAGATGAAATTTCCATAGAGTTTTATGCATATTCATTATGTTGAAACTTGAAAATCAACTCATCACATCCTTGACCCATATGCAAGGGCTGAGTAAATAATTCAAGTAGATTGAAGATTGGATTGCTCACTGCTTAGTCCTTGAGCTGCGACAATCATGTCATGCTTCATTATAAAATAGCCTGGCCAAGTGGTAGCTAATATTGAGTAGCGCCTGGTTGCTATAAAGAGCTACTTTGCTCTTCAGTATTGAATCTAAAGAGGATTGGTTTTTGGTTATGCTTACTAATTACTATCTTAAAGCTGTGTGGAGCATTTATATATATCTAATTTTTTGCCACATCTAACGATCTAATATAGGATGTGTATATATGGTAAGGATGATGAAGCTAAGAGTGTAAATTAGGCTCAGTTATATGGAAAATCTTCTACGGGTGCAGTGCATAGTCTTGTACTCTTGTGCAGATGCTATGTTAGCATAAAACCAATAACAATGATAGTGGAAATTTTCTTCTGATAATTACCATGGAGAACTGCTGATTTACAATGAAGTTTAACCAAATGAAGAGGTTATTGAAATGGGATACTATTATTTTACATGGTTCAATGGGAACAAGAATTTGACTAAATTGTGAACACAAAAGGAATCAGTAACAGAGAAGAACCATAAATCATTAAGGAATGCATCTGAACCATAAATTTAAGGAATATCGTATACTTGTATTTGATCTGGTCTGACCTGCAAAAGCTGATTTACCAGTACTGAAGAAAAAAATTAAGGAATAGTGTTCATCCCTTGATAAATATTGTCATCCTGCATATGTGCAATGTTAGAATAATGAAGAGTCAATATTGTCTTTTATTCTCATCAGCTAAGGTTGAGGGCCTTGGGGCTACCTACTGTTTCAGTTGCTGACAAACTGTAAAAATATTGAATAGACCTGGTTTATTCCTAATTTGAATTATTACTATTTTGTACAAGTAAGCTGCTATGTTAAATTTTGTTGACAGGAGCTTGTTTGTTCTCCTATAGCTTTTAATATTTCCCACTTGGAAGATTTTTGTTAATAGTATATTGGAGCAAATAGAGTTGTTCATAAGCCAAATAATAGATTTGACTAGCTAATCTACTTTTAGAGGTGTTTGTTATGAATTAGATTGAAAAGTAGGATGGGGTCAGTATGCTGTTTTTCAATATGTTATGGAAGGAGCATATTGACATGAACAACAAACCCTTTGATTACCAATTATTTACCTTTTTTAGATTTAATTGTTTTATTTATTTATCTATTTTTTTTTTTTTTTTTTGTTGTTGTCAATATATGCATCCAAAAAGCTTACAGAAAACTCCTAATAAGTAATTTATCAAATGCTTGTTAGAGAATCTGCTATTTAATAGGTCAAACATGCTAAAACAATTTGGGACTTATTGCTGGTTGCCAAATGATACCATAACCATAATCTGCTCATGATGTTAGTGTTGGTTGATATCGATGGTATACTTTGTAGAGTTTGTACAACAAACTCCCTCTTAATTTGCTTTTTTATCGTAGCTATTTAATGTGTTTTTGCTACGCTGCAATCTCTTAGCAAGACCTTAACCTGGACTTATTACCTATGTTAGTGTGGCCAAATTGTATACTTTTTACATCAAACTGTCTCATCTATGCCTTCTTTTAATAGCTTCTTGTTTTAATTAGACTTGGTGCAACATAGAATTTTTCATTAGCTTAGTTGCATCCTGCTTAATGTACACAACTTGCAGTTATTGAGGGCATTGAAAGAAAGTTACTGATTGCATGGATTGTGTTGAAGTTATGTTGCCTTGTCATTGAGCTTATCTGCTCAATATTAATAATGAAGCTTTCCTTTTGCAGATTATAATATTGCCAGAGAAATTATGCTTAAGAGAGCATCTGTTGAAATGTCAGAAGGAACAATGACGGTCAATAATAGTTTTGTCAGCAGTAGGGCGCACAGTTCTCCTAACCTGACACCAATTACACCAGCATTGCAGTGCTCAGAGTAAGATTATATCTGCCTTGAGTCTTTGGTCCTTGTATCTTTCGTAGTTTCATTTCACTAACTGCATGGTCTTTATTTGATGCAGCCAGAAAAAGAATGCTCTCAAATCTCGGCTACCCTTCAGGAAATTTTTGCACCCTCCAGAATCTCATACTGATACGTTGACATCTGAAGAAAACCCAGCTTCTCCATCAAATTCACAGAACCATGGTGAGCTGTTAGAAAAAAATAAATGTACGGATGTAGGTGTCCCTGATGCAGAGAAAGGCCTGGAGAACACAGAAGACAGATTAGTACTTGCAGGTGATGATGAGTCTGTAAATGCACACTGTTCGTCCCAATTGTCTAAACCTGATGTTAAAAATAGCATCTTGAGAAATAAATCACAGCCTGAGTCTTTTGCTGAAAGTGGTCCTCTGGCACCAAGTAGTTCTCTTCGATGGCGAAGCTCACCCATTACTCCAATCACACAGTTGACCACTTCTGAACTCAAAGAATTTGGTACAGGTAGCACACACTTTGACATGTTTGAAGATGACACCCCCGAGATACTGAAGCAGTCACCTACCCCCATTAAATCTGTAAAACTGAGCTCCCCTAATAAGAAGCGGATCTCTCCCCCTCACAATCATATAAATTCCTCAGAATCCCTAAAAATTAGCCGCAAATTTGTACTGCGTGCTGTGCCTTCATTTCCTCCGCTTACCCCGTATTCCAAAAACAGCAACCTTGACAACAGAGGTTAAGCGTTTTATTTAGATACCAGATTTATACTTATTCACATATGCAGTTTGAGGTGAGTGAATCATTTTTTTTCCATTGAGCATAATTGGAGTTTATTGTTAATAGATTCAGGTGAGCTGTGTCATTCTCTAATGATTTTTATGTGATTCTCCAGGCATCATATGGTTTCGTGTATCACAGCTTGCACCAATGAGTGCAAAGGTTGGTCTCCTGAACTCTGGATCTAGATGTGGAAAAAAAAATTTGTTGTTTGAGATCAACTATCTGGTCTTCTGCTGACAAGCTGCATCATGATATTATGAACTCCAACTGGTCGCATACACCATAATCTGAATCATATTCTGCTTGTATTTGCCGAGATCTCAAGATGTAACCTCCTTTCAGTTTCCCTCTCTTTGCTCCTTGGGGTATTATTTTTTTCCCTCTAATTGAATATTTTTTTGGGGGTTTAAGAAAGCGAGTAAATAAATTTGACAAGTACACAAGTTGATAAACTGTCACAGGATTTTCTACAGTTGTAATCCAGAATTTTTGAATTTCTTCAACCATTGTAAAATGTAACATCTATATTACTATATATAATTTGTGGAAGCCTTTTTCCTATCTCAATTTTGGTTACTCAAAATGAGCTTGGCCCATCTATCCATCAGCCATCTCAGATAAACTGAGTTCTATAAGAAGGCACAAAAGATTTGGGTACAGAACTTCTAAGAGTTTAGCTAATTGCCAAATAATTAGGCAACTAAGAGGGGACGAAATATCATTATCACCTTTGTTGCTAACTAAAGTTTGGTTTACTAAGTTAAGATATTTTGCCCCTTCTTAGTTTCATAAATAATTTGGTATATAGACATTAAATTTGTTAGTCCTCAAGTACCAGATTGATTGACATTTTGCTCCTGCTATAAGCCTATAATAAGCAGACTGCGAATTAAGGTCACGGGAGATTTTGGTATTTCAATCTATAACAAGCTTGATTTCTCATCATACGTATTCAAGACACAAGTAAGTTCTACATCGGATTTATTGATCAACTCAGTACAGTAAGGAGTAAATTTTCTCATCATACGGTAGAAAATATCAATAGCCCAAGGATTATGAAGAGAGAACATCATGTAATATATTTCATATGCGAATAATATTTTTTCAAGATACAAGGATTATACCATGTTTTTCATTATATACTATAAATATATTTCCTTATTGCCATCTATTAGTAGCATCTCAACATATTGCTAGCTTTGCTCTTGATAAGGTACTTTGCCTGCTAGTTTACCATCATGTCACTGCGTATAACGGTTCTAGGAATCTGAAGGGGTCCCTTCAAGCTCCAACACTGTGGTTAGCCATTTGCAGACTTCTTCAGTTTCTTCAGGGATGGTGTAATGACCTAGCCTGTTTAAAAAAACAGCATGGTAAGACCAAATTAAATCTCATGAAAGTTCATCTTTTAGCAAGTGTTGTAGCTAATACAAGGATCATGTACCCATCATAGCTCCTGAAAGTAATATTCTGGAATCCAAGTGAAGTAAGGGTTTCCACAGCTTTCTCTCCATGATCGTGCGCAACCACTTCATCAGCTGAAACACAAAGATTAGATGAAGAGTTACTGTGGCTCCTTCATGAAAAGTAAAGCTAATTCCCTAGATGTGTCATGTATGCCAGTATGCCACTTCAATCTTTACTTGTTTAAGGGTGTTTTGTAAATTCATAGTGTTAGGTATTTAGAGTACTTCCATGACAAATTGAGATAAAGAGACGTGAATAATTCATGAAGGGAAGTGGCACTCATTGTACTTAGTGAATAAGTGATATAAACTATGAAGTGTTTACAAAATATTGCTTTGTATTTACAACAATCGGATATAAAGGGTAATCAAGTTATTTGCAAATCGCAATCATTATTTATGAAAATAAATCTTAGATTTAGCTTTGTGTTACCCTTCTTCAATGTTCAATTGACATCATCCAAAAAAAGGGAAGAAATTGAAACAACGAGTCATCTTTAAAGTTTAAGTGTAGAAGATATAGATGCAAAATAAGACGTCAGAAAAGTCATTTGAGTACGAAAAAATAGCACAACAATTGAACCAGAAGTAAACCGAGTGATTAGCAATTTTATGTATGGGAATAAATTCTTAAAGTAGCTTCATGTTTACAAAGATTCAAAGTTCAACTGGCATCATCCAAAAAAGGGAACAAGAAAATGAAACAAAAAGGAGTCTTTAAAGCACAAAGACTAGTAGGATTAGATACAAGAGAAGATAACATCACGAGTCATGAGTCATGACAAGCATAACACAATAAGAAAGAAATAGGAATACCTGATCCATGGCAGAGTAAAATGGGCAATGCCGCTGCACGCTGCGGAGCTTCTTGGGACTCTTCCATCCATGTTTTCAATGAACTGAGAAATTAAGACCATGATTAAGCATAAGATTCTAATCTAAAAGATTCCACTTTGTAAAAATGCAACTTGATAAACCAAATGTATTGAGGCCCATATTAATAAAGTACATAAACCTTGAACATGGCAGCCATCCACTTAGTCCAACAACTACACTGAGATTGATAGGATAGGGGTTTCCATTCCTGTATCGCCCTAAGACTTGACATATCATAGAATACAGAGAGATTGCAGCACCTACGTTGAAACCTCCAATACCAAGCTTAACTGCAAGTAGTAGGTGGAGCGTAAGATCTCATTTATTACCTCCAGATAAGTCTTGCACTAATTAAAAAATAATAATTAGGCTATTGAAAACTATTGGCAATTAGTAGCAAGTTTCATGCTAATCTTGTATGATCACCTAGGTATATACAGGTAAAAAGCACTAATAGCAGGTCCAGAAAAATAGTTAAACGGAAGCTAGATTATGATAATACGGGTGAGACATGTTGACAGTTTGAGTAATGGAATATGAAGAACAAGGATTTTGTAATATGAAGAAAAAGGTCTCTTTTCAGCAAGTAATAGATGGAAATTGATTTGACAAAGTAAAACTCAGGAAGCGTAATATTCAGAAAACATACAAAATATGAGGGGGGAAAAAGGAAACCACAGATAAGTGTGATGAGAAATAATCAACGTAAACAGATAGTAGAGAATCTGTCAAAACTTTTTCGACAAGTAATAAAGATATACGTTTAAAGGACAAGAGAGGGATGTCGCTCATGTATAAAACGAGCTAGAGCGAAAATTAAATTGCCTTTAATCTATCATGTAACACTGAAGTCCAAACACATACTGTCAGAGGGTTCACTGGACAGAAGGTTGGCGATGTGTGCTGCTGAAGCATCTAAACCTTCCAAATCATCTGGAGCACTTTGCGACATATCTTCCACATCAAACCCTGCCATTTCCATACCAAGACATCTACAGTAAATATATACACACTAGAAATCTGTAGATACTGGAATAGAAGTGTAAGAGCCAGTAGTGACTAAGAAATGATAGCCATAAAACTCACAAGAAGTGCATGGAAATCCCCCAAGAAGTGCAACTGGACGAGTAGGAGCAGTTGGACAAATCCACTTAATCTGCATGGTTATCATACTATGAAATCTGAGCTCACAACTAGTATAAGCAAAATGCAAATGGAAGTCTTTGCTATCTGAATTCACAAATTTTCTGGGAAAATCTGCCCAAACTTACATTTGGAAGGGGAAGGGTCTCTAAGAGCTGAGACCAGCTGCAGCGTAGAATATCAGTGTTAGTTTTAGTATGAAAATATTGAAAAAGAAAACATGAAATAACCAAGAAACACATTGAAACTTTGGACCACTTTTAAACTACAGAATGTCCATCTAATAATGCTCTCTTAAGCACGGTATATGCCTTTATAAGTGCAGTAGAATATTTTGTTTACATATAAAGACAACCAAAAATGAAATAGAATATAGCCTTCTCTGTTTTGCTCATGCTGTGAGTGAATAATGTTAAAATTGGACAAACATACATGTTCAGAGGACCTTGCAAGATAAGTGTTTCTGCGGTCCCCTATATGCCAGGTTTTAACAATATGACTCACCAACACTTTTGAGTTTGACTTCAGGAGGGAATTATTCTCAAAGGAGCTTAAAACGAGAAGGGGGTTCTAAAGGTTTCTTACAAAGCACGGAACAAATTAGCAGCTAGTGTGTGCATGATTAGAGACACATGTCACACACACCGTAATTTTTGTTACCAAACATATTCCTGCCTTTTCTTATTGGGTATAGGTCAGCATAACACATACTTATCCTAGTGGATTTACGATATCTACACTATATGCTCAAAAGCATATGCATGTATGATCAATCAGAAAAATATACTCCCGAAACAACCTAGTCCAAGCAAATCAGGTTTTCCTGGACAAAGTTTGATTAGTAACAATTACAGAATGATAACTTATCATTGCTGTCACCAATTACGGATTTAACTTAAGAATGGTCACGAATATTGAAGCAAAAAGCAAAATGCTAGAATGCCTTTCATTGAACGGTTTACTGAAGTTACTACCTCAAGCCTTTGTCACCCATTCCGTGCAACCAAACTACAGTAGCCTGGTGTTTCCCTTTAGGCCTGACAACATGAGTTCCTCCAAATTCCAAATTCGTTGTCATAGGAGTAGCCTCTTCAATGTCCTCACTACCTGAAACAATGCAAACAGGGAATTTCAGCAACGAAAAGTAATTTTTCCTCATTGACTTCATTTCAATAAATTCTAGTTTCAATCCTAGTATCTCACTTCCAATATGAATGACCAAGATAAGCTATCTTTAGGACAATAACTAGGCAACAAATACCTATACAAGCCCTTATAATAAATTACTTCAAAAAGGTTCAATTCTTCTCCTTCCCAAACCAGGAAATCAACCCCCCTCTTTAGTCTTTCCTTAAATGTACAACTTTCTTACACTTTCCAATTATTCTTAGGACATATAACTAATTCAAGTGCTAAAAAACTTTCTATTGACCACCCTATTACAAAAACTACATTGCCAAAGCCGTAATCCTAAAAGGACGGATTCGTCTATTCTATTAACTAACCTGAACCGCGAAAATCATCACCACATGGATTCATCTTTGCTTAACCACCCACCACAATGACAAAGTTCAAGCCTGGCTATTCCTATTTATACAAACAAATGGGGGCAAAATGGAAATAAACCCAAGAATCTGAATCACCTCTAGCAAACTTTCAACATCATAGACCATGATAATACACACACTCACCGACCTTGAACTCAGAAAATATCCTAAATTATTAAACTAATTAGAAAGATAAAAAGCACTAATTAACGTCTAAGTATTAATTACAAGAGAGATGGATTTTCTGGAGGCTAAAAGAAGAGATGATGAAAAGTTTTTTTTTTAAAAAAAATACCCAAAAAAGTAGAACTCCTTTTTTGAAAAGAGAATCCACAAACAAATCAAAAATTTGACCTAGCCACCCAACCAAACATGGTCTTAGTTTTTGCACATTATATATAGAATCCATGCTTGTATTATAGCTGGTAAAGCATTACCAACCCAAAAAAATCAAACAACAACTTTTCAATAAAAATAACAAATTTTCAAATGTTCTTAAACAACAATTAAAAACTTCTAATTTTTGTTATGCAATAAAAAGCTCTTCAATTCTGGGTTTTTTCCACCATAATTTTTTGTACATATTCATCATAATGGTTGAATACCCATTAATTAAATTCCAGAAATTCAAATGTTCCAAGTAAAAATGCAATAAAATAGCTAAAAATGAAGTGGGATTTTCATATTATAAACATTTAAATGTTAAAACAATGTAAATGGTATTATCTTTGATTATAAGTTTCTGGGTACTAACCTGGAATTTGGGTGTATGATTAAAGGGAAATTTCAAAGCGTAAGTGTTTTTGTTTTCTCTTTATTACAATCAAATTTTATTTTTTTTTTACAGTATTTGAGTTTGATTTCTCAAAAAATAATATAAAAAAAAGGAGAGTGTTGATTCTCTCTCCTCCAGGCTTAATGCTTCTACTGTTCATAGTTTCGTCCACCGGGAGAGACCAGGCGAGAGCAGCAGATTACCCTACCACACGTGTGCACTACTGCACCCTGCTACATCCTTAGAATAATTGTTTCGGAGTTTGGCTCAAGTGCTCAACCAACACGGTGCATGGTTCGTGTACAAATGTGATACAGTCATTTTAACGTCTAGAGATATGTACGATTTGTGTAACATATACTACCCGTGTTTCAAATTATTTACAACGATTTGACATAAAATGTAAGTGAAAAGGGTTTAATCATTATAAATAATTTAAAATACAAAGTAGAGGTAATAGTATTGGTTATGTTACGGACTTATGGTGTACTTATCATATTATAGTACTTTGTGTTGCTTATTATTATGCGTGTGTTATTATCCAAGCTCTAGTGGATTCCAGCAACGTTAATGTAATGCTAAAATATAATTCATGCATAATGTTGGGTTAAGATACAATAATTACCCATTGTTTTATTGCATTACTTGCTGCATATTTTGGCAGCTTGGTATTGGTAAATTATCTAGTACTGTGTTAACTTTACTAATGTTTATTAATCTATATATTACGCATGATTAGTAATCTCAAATGCATTGTCATTAACCTTACTGATATGCCTCATAGAACCAGCTAATGATTTGATTTGACTTAACAGTGATACACTGTACATAAGAATCTGTTCTACCTTATCTAGTAAAATTTGCCCTACCAATCACCAAACCCATGTAATATGGCCTATATGGAGTAGTGACAAACTTAGCACATATATGGTGGACTAAATGATTTTATTTTTCTAATTTTAGAGCAATTTGGTTATTTAAACATTATATAGATATATCATAGCAAGGTTAAATATAAATATTTTGCTTGGATATTGAGATATGCATGAAATACATGCATTAACAAAAGGCCTTAAATTATTGGATTTGTGTTGTTGATATTTACATGGTCATTTTAAACATTTTTGTAGTAAAATTTCGGTTTTTAGACTGTGACCATTACAACGTTATATGCACGAAACTATTTTAATAATATATATTTATTCTTGGTTAGGAGGGATCCACAAAAATTAAATGATAAAAACGGAATCTAATTTTGAGTTTTGTGTACAACTTCGAGTCCAACAATAATATCTTAAAATACACTTTGTTTACCAATATAGAAATGTAATTCAATGTTCAAAATACTTTTGTTGCTTTGAAAATACATTATCGCACGTTCAAGGTATAACATATACTTGTATTGTATAATTGAAAAGTATTCCCTAAAATGTCATTTTGTACTTCTGCATCATAAATTATTATTCATAGTAGTCAAGCCATACAGTGTCCATTTTTTCACAATAAATTAAATTACTCTTACACTAGTTCTTGCCCCTCTTTAATTATGGGCTGTCCTTTATTTCTGTTGACCTCTTAAAGCAATTGTTATAGTACTAAGTTATCTTGGATGATTTGATAAGTTCATATTTTTAGGGTTCTATGTTAAACTCACATATTAATTATTCCATGTTAAGAGAAGATGAGCACTACTTTATAATTATAAGGAGTTGTTGTCAATTGTTTTAGGATGGAACCTATAAATATATAATCATTCGAAAAAAAAAAAAAAATTATTCTTTATCGATGGGTACAACCAGCTCAGATCGACTTATTTAATGATCGGTGAATATGACAACTTTAAATAAAGATCTAGGATCACTATCATTAATGGGAACTCATCTTTTACTAAAAATAAACAAAACAAAAAAGTATATATCATAAGGTGATTTCATAGTATTTAATAATCAAAAAGTTGGGTTTTGAAAAGAAATTAAAAATGATTACCACAACCTACAATTTCATTCATAGTCCATTTATGACAAAATTTATCCTTACAAATTAAATATAATATGAAGAAGATGCTCACTTTTATATACATCATAAAGCAACCAATATTAATCAAGTCTACGTGCACAAAATTTATCCTTACAAATTATATGTCAACTCCTTTAAATTTGGATTAATAATTTAGATTATCAATCTAAACATGTCAACCCTTTTATACCTCTTCTTCAAATTAGAAAATGGAACTAAAAAGTCATACCTTAAAGTGCTTCTTTTTTTTCCTTAATGAGATGGCTTAATTTATTAATTTTGTTTTTAACATAAATATGCTTCTAAGTAAGATAAAGTGCATAAAATAAAGTCAAATCTCATCAGATTCCCTGTTTTCCACTGTCTAAAATTGGCCTGTGTATGTTGCTGCCTACAAATAAATTAAATTGAGCATGGGTCATAATTCATAAATGTGTTTAGATCCATGGAATATTATATGATCTTGCAGGCATAATTGTGATTAAATAATGTATAATCAACCCATAATTACTCCACGTGTTCATCGAATGCCACGGTTAACCTTGATTAGTGTAACACTTCAAAGTTATGAATATGTCCCTTTGCATATATGATAGGTACAACTATTTGTAGAGCCATACATTTCACTAATTGTCTCGAAGTTTCGACTAATATGATCATTAAGGGACCGAGGGGACCATAATTACATGGCTTAAAATTTGATAAATGATAAAGTTTTTTTAAGTTAATTAGTCTATGAATGGACAGATTCTGAAGAGAAAACGTGTTTAAGAGGATTGCATGTTTTGCTTATATTCGAAAAGACAAGAATCTAACATGTTTTGTGAAGCTAATATCGAGGGAGTTACTTTAATTTTCAGTGGGTGGTGGGTTGTTCTTGTTCAAATCTCTTGTAATTTAATTGTTAATCCTTAATTTGCATAACTTTGATTTTAATTAGTAATTTAGTGGGGAGGTCATGGGAGGTGTTAAGTCGTGTATTAATAATATTAATCAAACTAAGAAATGCAAATAGGTTGTGTCCATGCTTGACTAACGTGTATAGAGGTCGATTATGTTGTTGAATACTCATTCTTTCCATTAAAAAGGTTGATTTTTTTTTATTTTTTTTTTGAGGTTAGGTTTGAAAAATTTGCTCGAATATTGATATTCAATTAAATATCAAATTATTATTAAGCGAGGTCTTATTTAATTAATCTTGATAAGTAATAAGTTTGCTTATTTGTTTTCTTCTTACATGTAGGCTTCAAATCATGAAATCAATATGAAAACAATTATTCGCATAAGCTATAATATTGCTAATGAGATTCGCAACAACATAAACAACCATTATACAGTATTAAAACGTGTTTTCAACTCTTGTTTAGAAGACCCTAAACACGAGTTCGACTCTCATCTATATAACTATTATTCAGGGCTTTCTATATGACTCTTTATAAGACTAATTCACTTTTTTAGGACGGAACTCATCTCTATTTTATTATTTTTGTCTCCCTTTATGAAGACTTGTACAGTAATGACCTTTCGGGAATCGATAATGGATACTAGGAATGATAAATAATATGTAATGTAATTTGAACCATATGTACACGGCACAAATGCACACAATTTGTAAACCTTCAAAAATTCTCTTGTTGTATTATTACGAATTTACTCATTTAGAGATAATTAAGTGGTTACATGGCATTTTATTATCATGTATGATGCCAGTTGCCAAATTGCCGATGTACTATCCCGCCAAAAGATATTTACTTATAAATTTATTAATTACCGCTATTAACCTCCCTCTCACCGGGAATGTGTGACAAATTTGTTAATCACACTAACCTCTAAAATTATACTCCGTATATCATCAATTACATAATAAAATAATCTCATTGGAAGCATAATTCATTCGGAAAAAGACCAATTATAACATCCGATGTACGAGTGCCAAAATTAAATCAAATGGTACGGGATTCAATGTGAGTCAAAACACTTAAATTCATACATTGTTTCACATGATTATAATTCATCGAGACAAGACACCGTTTTAACAGAATCTAATATCGTAACTAAGACCAAAATCCGGTAAAATCTATTTATTCGACATACACTCAACAAACAAGCACTACTAATCACAAAGTTGACAGATAAATTTGCCTCAAGTAACCAAAACAATGTGAAATTGGCCACACCCTCCATGGTACCACTATCATAGTGCAGTAATGCACATAATCTCAAAAGCTACTATTCTACCTAGGGCTGGCCTCAGCAGAGCCATCTCCATAAGAGACCAGGCCCTTTTTCCCTGGTGGACTGCCAGATGATGACCTAGACTGAGACCTATCCTTGCTAGCTCGTTTTGGAGGTGGGGAGCCCTTAGAGGACCCTGAAGCTGATGCACTCCTGCTTCGACTTCGACTAGATGACAACCGCTTCTCAG